TTTAGGGTTTAGGGCTTAGGGTTTAGGGTTTAGGGCTTCGGGTTGGGGTTGCGTGTGAAGCTGTTTAATACCTCAATGGTATGGGATTCTCGGGGTCGGCGGGTCCCTCTCGAGCGCCTGAGAAGCTGCTTCACTAGTGAGTGCTTGAACTTGAGATGCTGAACCCTACGCCCCTAAGCCCTAAGCCCTAAACCCTAAACCCTGAAACCCGACTTCTAACTGCACGAAAACAACTTCACGTAGAACTGGCCAATAAGCCAGAACCCAGCAATGGAGTCAGGCACTCTCCGGAGAGGAAAATCCAAACTGTCAGATCCCACCCTAAACCCTAAACCCTAAACCCTAAACCCTAAACCCTAAACCCTAAACCCTAAACCCTGAACCCTAAACGGTGGGAACCTGTCCAGCAACCTGAGGACGCAACCCGAAATCCCATCGGAGACCTCCGAAAGCTGGAAGACCCCTGAGCTTTCGACATCAACGCCCCTGAAAAGAACCGCATGAAAATGACTCGAATCCTCCAACCTAGTCTCTGAGTACTGTACCCCGGACCAAAAAAAGCTTAAGCTTTCCACTGTGGTAGGGTTATATTTACCCCGAAAGGTTAAAGGCTGCCTACTCAGCTACTACGTCAAAAGCATCACGGAACACCCGACTCAGATTGACAAGTCCCTCTATCTGCTTAGTAGCCCAGTAGCCATATTATAATGAGAGCACCCATTTTTTGTGGTTGGTTGCTGAAAAAGGGAACCTTGAACCGAAAAAAAAGAGGTAAAAATGGGCTACCAAACCCGAAACCCTAAACCCCAAACCCCAAACCCCAAACCCCAAGCCCCAAACCCTAAACCCTAAACCCCAAACCCTAAACCCTAAACCCTAAGCCCTACTCTGACAGTCTGACGGGCGTATGCCCGGGAGGGTTCTCTGTGCCACCAGACTTTGGAAATACTTGGCCGATCCTTCAGAGGCCTCTGTGGGTAGCTCTCCAATTTAGGGTCTCTTTTTTTTGGGGTACCCTAGGGATTAGGGTTCTGGGTTTAGGATTTAGGGTTTAGGGTTTAGGGCCCCAAAAGGGACCCTAATCTGGAGAACTACCCATCTGACGACACTACCACGTGAGCATCAGAAGCCTGACCTCTAACCCCTATTGAAACTGGAAGCCGCACCGCTCTTCTCCCAAAACCACCCTGACCCCTAAACCCTAAACCCTAAACCCTAGCCCTAAACCCTAAACCCTAAACCCTCAACTCGAAACCCTAAACCCTAGACCCTGCCCTCCCAAGACCAGCCAAGTCGGAAAAGGGGCCGAACGGGTGTGTGCAAGCCTACGAGGCAAGCTACGGTTGGGGTCTGGGTCTTAGGGTTTGGGGTTTAGGGTTTGGGGTTTGGGGTTGAGGGTTTAGGGTTTAGGGTTTAGGGGTTAGGGTTTAGGGTTTAGGGGGGGTTTAGGGTTTAGAGGTTTAGAGGTTTAGAGGTTTAGGGTTTTAGGGTTTTAGGGGTTAGGTGAGGGTTTTTGTTGGGGCTTTAGGGCATGCAGACAGGCCAGACCTTGCTCTCACCACTCCGTCTCTCCTTTTTTTTGTTTTTATTATTTTTGTTATCTCTCTCTCTCTCTCTTTCTCTTTCTCTCTTTCCCTCTTTCTCTCTTTCCCTCTTTCTGTCTTCATCTCTTTTTCTCTTTCTCTCTTGTTTTAGTTCTCTCTTTCTCTCTTTTTTAGTTCTACCCCACGTTGGAAATTCCGAACCTGGACCTCGGGATCTGAGCCGTCAGCTTTTGCGGCCTGCGGCTAGAACTTAGGGGCCTACGTATAACGAGAATTTGTATTTTACAAGAAGAAGTTTTGGATGATTGAGGTCATGATAAAGGCAAATTGCTTCGGCTCCTATACTAGAGAAAATGGCTCGGGCTTAAGAATTCAAGTGAAAGGGGTTGAGGGTTCAAGGACTTGTGGACCGCACGCGTGCAGATCCCCTCTTCCAGTCAGCACCGAATTCCATCCCTGTGCACGTCTGCGGCCAGCAAGGCTCTCAAACGTCAGGCATTCGTGGCTCAGGGTTTGAAGTATGCCTGAAGTCACCTATCCACCCTTTTAAAAAGGGGAAGCAGCTAAACCCTAAACCCTAAACCCTAAACCCTAAACCCTAAACCCTAAACCCTAAACCCTAAACCCTAAACCCTAAACCCTCTCTTACTATGTATATTTAAACCCTAATGACCTTCGTGGGCATGTGGTTTTTTTTTCTGGGCCCTAAACCCTGACCCCCTTCGTGGGCAAATGGTTTTTTTTTTTTTTCTGGGCCGTGCCTCCAAAAACACCCCAAATGAGGGGGACCCCAGGATCGGCCCGGGTCCCAGTTCAACATGCGATTTTTTAGTACTGAAATCGACGCTTCTGGGTGGGCTCTCGTTTTCTGGATTTTTGATCAAAACCGAGCCTTTGGGCCCTAAACCCTGACCCCCTTCGTGGGCAAATGGTTTTTTTCCACCCGGGGGGGCCCTAAACCCTGACCCCCTTCGTGGGCAAATGGTTTTTTTCCACCCGGGGGGGCCCTAAACCCTGACCCCCTTCGTGGCCAATTGTTTTTTTTTCACCCGGGGGGGGCCTAAACCCTGACCCCCTTCGTGGGCAAATGGTTTTTTTCCACCCGGGGGGGGCCTAAACCCTGACCCCCTTCGTGGGCAGATGGTTTTTTTCCACCCGGGGGGGCCCTAAACCCTGACCCCCTTCGTGGGCAGGGGGGGCCCTAAACCCTGACCCCCTTCGTGGGCAAATGGTTTTTTCCACCCGGGGGGGCCCCAAAACCCTGACCCCCTTCGTGGGCAAATGGTTTTTTTCCACCCGGAGGGGCCCTAAACCCTGACCCCCTTCGTGGGCAAATGGTTTTTTTCCACCCCGGGGGGCCCTAAACCCTGACCCCCTTCGTGGGCAAATGGTTTTTTTCCACCCGGGGGGGCCTAAACCCTGACCCCCTTCGTGGGCAGATGGTTTTTTTCCACCCGGGGGGGCCCTAAACCCTGACCCCCTTCGTGGGCAAATGGTTTTTTTCCACCCGGGGGGGCCCTAAACCCTGACCCCCTTCGTGGGCAAATGGTTTTTTTCCACCCGGGGGGGCCCTAAACCCTGACCCCCTTCGTGGGCAAATGGTTTTTTTCCACCCGGGGGGGGCCCTAAACCCTGACCCCCTTCGTGGGCAAATGGTTTTTTTCCACCCGGGGGGGCCCTAAACCCTGACCCCCTTCGTCGTTAGGTTTTGGGTGAGGCCCTAAACCCTGACCCCCTTCGTCGGCAAATGGTTTTTTCCACCCGGGGTAGACAAGGGTTTAGGGCTCTTAGGGTTTGGGGCATAGGGATTAGGGCTGTAGGACTTGGGACATAGGGTTTAGCATTCTTGGGGTTTGGGGCATAGGGTTTAGGATTTGGGGCATACGATTTAGGGTCTATTGTGAGTTTTGGACCAACTAGACTTTGAGCTTTAAGCCTACCGGGAAAGTATTGGTTGAACTTTATATTTTCTCAATGTTATGGGTTTCTTGGGTGGGTGGGATTTTTTTCCGACGCTTGACAAGCTGCTTGACTAGTGAATGCTTGGACTTGAGATGCTGAACCCTAAACCCTAAACCCTAAACCCTAAACCCTAAACCCTAAACCTCTACTTGCAAGTGCCCCCATGCACCTCCACGTAGAGCCTCAGAGACGGGCCCGGGGCTCACTGGATCCTGGCACTTCGCCAGGCGCGGCCGATGGAGGCCATGCAGAACCACCCTGGAGTCGACTTCTAGGAGTTTAGGGTTTAGGGTTTAGGGTTTAGGGTTTAGGGTTTAGGGCTAGGGTTTAGGGTTTAGGGTTCAGGGTTTAGGGTTTAGGGTTCAGGGTTCAGGGTTTAGGGTTTAGGGTTTAGGGTTTCGGGTTCAGGGCTTAGGGTTTAGGGTTTAGGGTTTCGGGCCTAGGGTCTAGGGTTTCGGGTTTAGGGCTTCAGGGTTTAGGACCTTGAGGCTTCAAAGGATTCAAGGGCCAAAGGGGTTCGTGTTTAAGGTTGAGGGTTCTGCGAGTTAGAAGGGATTTTGGCTTAGTAGCCCAGTAACCATATCACAATAAGGGCACCCTTTTTTGGGGTGGTTAGTTTATAAGGGAAACCATAACCAAAAAAAGGTCAGGGTTACCACTGGGCCACCAAGCTAGGATATATGGGATTAGGGTGAAAGTCCAAGGGCTCATGGGATTTTAGGATGTATTGTGTACTGGTGAAGGGTCTGGGTTTAGGCTTTATAAGGTTGCAGGGCCAAAGGGTTGAAAGGGCCGAAAAGGTCAAAGGGTTAGAGCCTGTGAACACCCTTGACCCCGTACAGAGTAAGAGCTATAAGTGCTCCATTGAAACCCTAGGCTCTAAATCCTAAACCCTAAGCTCTGAACCCTAAACCCTAAACCCTGAACCCTGAACCCTGAACCCTAACCCCTAAACCCTAAACCCTCAACCCTCAACCCTAAACCCTAAACCCTAAGCCCTAGCACCATCCTTCAGTCCCCAGCCTCCTGCTCAGAGAAGGCCCAAGAGAGGGCCTGCTCGATATGCTTCACCTCGGCTTTCGGCCTACGTCGTTGGTGAGTCGTGGCAATGAGGGTTCCTTTGGGTTTAGGGCTAGGGTTTAGGGTTTAGGGTTTAGGGTTTAGGGTTTAGGCTTTAGGGTTTAGGGTTCAGGGTTCAGGGTTTGGGGTTTCGGGTTGCGGGTTTAGGGTTTCGGGTCCAGATTTAGGGTTATACACGTAAGGGCCTCTTAGTTATAAATTGGGTCCTAGGGGCCCTTAATTGGGTTATGAATCTGTTGCCTGAGGTTGATTGCTGTGGCGCGACTCTTCAGAGCCGGAGGCTCGAATCGAGACAGGCCAGAACATCCGACATAAAGAGGCAGCACACACTCGACATAAGCAACTTACAGCATTGCAGATCTGCTGTGGTGTGCGTGAGAAAATCCCATGTCCGATCGCCATGATCCCATTGCCATGTCGTCCTCCAATCCACCTGATGACATGCAATCAGTGCATAACCTGGGCCCCGCCGGCCAACAGGTGATGAGCCCAAGCGCTCAGGGCTTGGCTTTGGATGGTGAAGATCGAGGTCCCGACTACGGCGGTGAAGCTGCTGCAACTGGAATGGATGGCGGTGGCCCATGCGGGGTACTGATGAATGGTGTTGCTGGATCTCGGGCTCAGCGGGTTTTTTCGACCTATGGGTCGGTGGTGCCCCCTGACTCTGATGTTGACACTGCACGTATCCCTGGGCAGACTGCAGCTTCTGTTTCGGACGCTACGACAGCTGATGACACCGGACCGGGCGCGGCGACCAACGTGGGACACACGTATACCAGGAATGCGGACGTACGCATCATGACGGCGCCGGCAGCAACTGTACAAGAGATGACCACTACGACGACCGTGGAACAGTATGCTGCACTGCCTGTGGCTGAGGTGACAATGAGCTCTCAGACTAACCATCTGGGGTTTTCTCCTCCGGAGGAGCTGTTGGATGGGTCACCACGGGTAGCGGGTGCCAACAATGGGCCAGTATGGATTGCACGCCTTGGAGAATTTCTCCAACGCAGGGTGACTCAAGCGGGGGCTATCTTGGAGAGGACGACGAGGCAGACTCCGACCCTTTCCCCGCCAGCGAGTTGGGCCCAGGATCCAGGGCGCTTGTTCACGCCAGAGGCTGAGCAGGTGATGCAGTCTTGGAATAGGCGTGCGCCTCTCCTACATGGTCCTGTTCCTCCTCGTGACATTGAGTCATCAAGTGGTTCCTTGACGCAGGAGCAGATCCTACAAGAAGTTCAGCGGCAAGTTCAGTCTGCCATGAGGGATCACCAGGAGGAGCTCAAGAGGACTAAAGGACGCCAAGAGGCCTTGGAAGAAGAAAACAATCGACTTCGAGGTTCACTACGGCAACTGCTGGAAGCAGGAGTTCCTGTGCGGGACACGAATCAACTTGATGGTGGCGGCAATCTGGTGGGACCTCCAGGAGATCCTGAGCATACGCTCGCTGCGCCTCCCGGACTTGCACGAGGTGGTGGAGTGGGTTCTGAGCTTATGGGTGGAGGCAATCCTGCTGGACTACCACGACACGCTGAAGTTGTTCAGGGTGAAGTTGGTGAGCAACGTGTACGTGCAGAAGAGCAAGCAAGGCATCCAGCGGCCGCTAGTGTACGATTCAGCCTACTTGAAGGTGATCTTGGTGTGCATCAAGAAGGGCATGAACGTGGAGCGACAAGACCTGAATCGGGGGCTTCTGCGTGTGATCCTCTTGGCCTTGGACATGGAAGGCAGTCAAGGGGGGCAGGAGTTTCCCAGGAGGCTCTACGTGCACCAGGACAACACCGAACCTTGAGTGGTAGCGCTGTGCCACCACCTCCGCCGAAGATGTCGGCATCAACAGGCCAGCAAGGCCCCTCTGATCCCTTCGGGCTGCTTGCCCAGGGAATTGCACAACTACAGTCGGCGATGACCGCGAGCTTGACGGCGAGGACTTCGGAACCTGAGGTGGTGAAACCAGGTCTGGTTGATCTCCCGCGTCTTGCCGAAGCATCGGATACGAGTGCCATAGATGTGGGAGACTGGCTTCACAGCCTCATGAACCCTATGGGGGACCTCTCCAACTCCTCTTCTTCTTGGTGGCACGCGATCCTCACATCCCTCGAGGCCTATTACCAGGCATATCTACGAGCTTCCACTAGAGACAAGCTGAGTTTGAGGCCGGAGACGTTTGCCTGCGCTGAGGTTGGGGATAGCAAGTGGTCACGGGTAGACAAGCGAGCGGCATCCATGATCCTTGCCAGTCTTCCGGAGTCGGTGAGGGGCGAGGTTATGGCGGCAAGACTTTCCGGCACGCTACAGATTTTGGCTCGGGTGATAGTGCTCTATCGACCAGGAGGAGCAGCAGAACGACAGCAAGTGTTGAAGGCTCTGGAGAGTCCTACAGTCGCCAGCACACCCCTCGAGGCCGTGGAAGCGCTACGTCGATGGTCTCGTTGGCTGAGAGGACTACAACCCCCAGATTCCAGCGTGTTGCTGAAAGGCCTGGACATGATGGTTCGGAAGCCCATCACGGAGAGCAGTGAGATATCGTTCCGCATCGGCATCCTCCGATACAACCTGGAAGTGGACACGAAGCCTTGCACTGCCACGGTCAAGGAGCTACACCAAGCGCTGCTGTCTGAGTTTGAGCAGGTTGCCTTCAAGGGGAGGTCTAAGGGCGCTACGAACCTGAGAGCAATTGGGGCCGGGACACCCTCAGAATTTACCCCCTCTCCAACGTTGCCTTCGAACGACCCCAACAAGAAGAAGTCCACACCTTGCAAATTCTTCCTTACCGACAATGGATGCAAGAAGGGAGGATCATGTCAGTTTTCCCATGATGCTGACAGGAAGCAGAAGCAAGGCAGATGCTTCACTTGTGGAAGCAAGCAGCATGTCCAGAAAGAGTGTCCTACACGCCCCAGGAGCCCAGCGAAGACAACACCGACGGCTGCGACATCGTCCAAGACCACAACTACTTCTTCACCTGGCACCTCTGGCGAACCTCCTGCTTCGACAACGGCGGCTTCCTTGAATGCCCTTCCACCAAGTACAGAGTCGGTAGTATCTGGGCAATCATCGTCGGGCACTGAATCACAGGCTGACGTTCAGTCGCTTTTGAGAGAGGCCAATATGATGTTGCGCCAGATGACACAGATGAACCTCAAGACCCTGACTTTGGCCACAGTGGAGCGAGAAGCAGCTTGTCGAACAGGCTTGTTGGATTCTGGAGCGTCGCATGCGTACAGGATTGGGTCAGAGGAAGAGTTCCAAGCGGCCACAAAAGTGCAGGTCCAACTGGCAGACGGCAAGGAGGTTGAGCTACGGCAGACCTCAACGGGGACCCTTCTATCCCCGAATGATCAGACGAGTCCCATAGTCCCTCTCGGTGAACTCATTGAGAGCCTGGACTGCACCTTGGAATGGACTAGAGATGGAATGACGATACAGCACCCCCAACGAGGTGAAATTCGTCCCCGCATGGTTGCTAATTGCCCGACGGTGACAGAAGGACAGGCGCTGGAGCTGATCAGGGACATAGAGGAGAAGAAGAATCAGTTGGTGGATGCTACAAGATCTTCAGCGAAGTTGCTTTGGTGCTGGGACAAGGAGCAATCCTGGTCGCAGCATCTGTTTGACTTCTTGGATACAGGCTCAAGGACTGCTCAACTTCGGGCCATGGAGGCGGAGGATTCTCCGTTCAAGGGGCTGTCAGCTTCTGTGCGAGCTGCCTTGGCTGAGGAGGTGGTTCTCAATGTGGATGCTGGCGCTAAGTACGTGAAGGCTATGCCGATATCAAGAAGAATGCGGCGAACGCTTTTGGCTGCCCCTTGGACACTGCATCTCTATGCTGGAGCAGGCAATCATGGGGACTTAAAGTCTCTCGGGCCAATGCTTGAGGTGGATATCCAGATTTCCAAGGCCTATGACCTTCGCAAAACCGCCGGAACTTACCGAGCTCTCCTCTGGTCCGCTGCACAAGGATTACTTGATGGTGTTGTTGGCGCCCCCCCTTGTCGAGGCACGGAGGACGAAGAGTTGGTGGCAAAGCAGATGTGGCTGATGATGGTTGCGAAGGCTGCGAGGATCAAGAGAACGGGTTTTCCGGTGTACTTGGCGATGGAAGGAGATAGGCTACTGGGTGAGCTCGCGAAGAATGAAGATGGCTGCTTACCGAATGTGGCGAAAATCTTCACGAACTACAAGGATGCCATGTGCTTGGAGACCTTGACTCCGGGCGTCCTTACCAACCTTGATATGCAGCTGAACGATGAGAATAAGAAAGCCAATGATGGTCGATGGACGGCAACATTCAAGGAGTCTCTCGCGCAGGCCGTAGAGCAGTGGAAGTTGAGGCCTGAGGAGGTTCAGAGGGCGAAATGGATGGCAAAGATGGACAGCAACCCTGACGCTTTCCTCAAGGCTTTGAGTACTAAGGAGCTGGCGGCCTGGAAGACTCATATACGGAACAACCACATCCCGTATAACCGAAGATGCCGTACCTGTGTCGAAGCATCAGGGCTGGGACGAATGCATAAGAAGGTGAAGACACCGAGCTCGTACTGCCTGTCGCTGGACATTCTCGGACCATTACGACAACGAGGTGAAGATCCTGATCACCGGGATTATCGCTACATGCTGGTGGGAGCTTATCTCTTTCCTAAGCTCGAGTCCTTCAAGAAGAAAGAAGGCCAAGAAAACCCAGAACCACCACCAGCACTGGATCCAGCGGAAGAAGAAGGTGTAGATGAGGGCCATCGTTTTCATCCTGTCATGGAAGGGAAGAGCGTCATAGGTGGCGTGGGTGTGGAGGACCTTGTCGGGGAGCAGGGTGCCATTTCTTTCGATGACATGTTTGCGGAAGAGGAGGAGGACCTTGCACCACCTCCAGAAGAAGAACTACCCGCTGGATTGTCAGATGAAGACTTCAAGAAGTTGTTCGGTGAGGAAGTTGGTGACGGGAACCCGGAGTTTCAAGTTCTCTATGTGGCTCATCCGTTGCGCACTCGGACGACAAACGAGATCGGCGCCGCCGTGCAGGAGATTTACCTCAAACTGCGTGCAGAAGGTTCCGATTGTTCGAGTTCATGCTGGCCGAGCTCGGGAGTTGAGGGGTACGGCTTTGAGGCGGTGGCTACTACAACGGGGAACCATTGCTACGTATACCGAAGGCCAGTCACCGCAGAGCAACGGAAGAGCGGAAGCTGCAGTCAAATGGATGAAAAATCAGGCGAAACGACTTCTCCTCTCGACGCCTGTTCCTCGGTCGTGTTGGACGGCTGCCATGACCTATTCGGCCTGGGCGCAGAGGGAAAGAGCTATGGGACGCGGCGCTGACCTCCTTCCTTTCGGATCCAGGGTTCACCTCAGATCCAAGGTCTACGGCACTGGTGGCAAGTACGATTTGAACTCGCGGTGGAAGCCAGGCTACTATGTGGGACCCAGTGTGGATGTTCGCGGTGGGCATGTGGTTCGTTGTGATGATGGCACTTACCTGACGTCCCAGCACTTGCGCCCGAACCTTGTAGACTCAGACAAGCTTGGTGGTAAGCCCGAGTTTGAAGCCATCGTCACAGAGCCTGTCAGAAGAGTGGTGGGCAAGCGAAAACCAAACACGATGGAGGAACCTCAGGAGGAGGATGTTGAGCATCTAGTGGACCCCGGGCATCCCGCAGAAGAGTATGCGAGGGTGCTGCTTGAGGAGGAGTTCCTGGAGAAGGATCAAGTGGAAGTACTGGCGGGGTTGTTACCAATGAAGACCGACGCCCCGAAGAGGTTTGGTGAAACAGGTGAAGATGGCGGCTGGTGGTCGTCGGGCACTTTCGTCCATGGAGGTGTGGCGGGGGTCCGGTCATCGTCATCTGCTTTCCCTTGCACTACGAGAGTCCTCACCAAGTACCTGAAGCAACTCCAACCGGATGCCTCCTTCTCAGCGGTGGCCCTGTTTATCAACACGCAGACGAAGGCTCACAAGGATGTGCACAATTTGGGCATGAACATCATCACCCCACTTTCGAAGTTTGAGGGAGGAGGTTTGTTGATGGAGCCAGCTGGGGAGGAGTCCTATCATCTGAACGTGAACGAAGGGACCTTGCAGTTCGACCCCAAGGTGAAACACTCTACGCTTCCTTGGTCAGGAGGAGATAGATTGGTCCTTGTCGGATACCACACTCGAGGCGTGGAAAAGATCAAGGAGGAGGACCGACAACGTCTCCATGAGCTGGGGTTCCCACTACGTCCCATCACATCGTCGCCACCAAGGATCGCCAAGGCACAGTCTAGCGCGCCAAAGACGAAGGGATTGGGATCACCGAACGATTTCCGCCCTCTGCACTCAATCAATGAGGACTTGGAGATGGTGCTCAAGGATTTGGACGAACGGGCAACGAGACTGAGAGACTTGCTTGAAGAGGAGGAGATCCTTGCAGAAGAGTACCGCAGGTGTGGAGACGTTACGAGGGAGACGCTGAACGATACCAGAAATGCGGTGTCGAAATTCTTGGAGGAGACCCATGAGCAGATTGTGGAGATTGAACGAGTTCGCATGTTGAATTGCTTGAGGATTGCTAGCATGGCCACAGGCAATCAGGAGATGGCGGAAGTGGATTACGAGCAATTGTTGGCGGACCTGGAAGGGGACTTGGACGTTATCCACAATGTGCCTTTGGAACAAGTGAAGAACGTTCTCTCACGATGGGTGGAGGCCATCAAAGAGGAGGTGACGGCACTCTTCAATTCTGGCACCATCGTCAAGGTCTCCCACCAGCAAGCAATGGACATGGAATCAGCAGGGGAGCTGAAGATGGCCCCGGCCAAATGCGTCTTCACGCTCAAGCCTCCGAAATCAAAGGGGGGCAAGTACCGGCGGAAGTGCCGGACCGTCATCTGCGGGAACTACGTCGACCCCTCCAACATGTCCTTGTACGCCTCGGGCGCTAGCACGGAAGCTCTGCGTGTGGCTCTGGTGACTGCGGCGATGCATCACTGGGATGGGGCCACTGCTGACATCGTGACGGCTTTTCTCCTCGCCACATGGCCTGGTGACATGCCAAAATATGGGATGAGACCGCCAAAAGTAGTGAGGGATGCAGGAGCTGCGAGTGATGAGACGTGGGTCATTGTGCGCCCACTATATGGACTCAGAGAGAGTCCAGCCATATGGAGCAACTTCAGGAATGCCAGATTGAAGGCGGCGAAGATCAAGTTTGGTTCCCTGGAGTTGACCCTTACCCCCACGATAGCCGAATCGGAGCTTTGGCTGGTGAGGGATTCCTCCAAGCGGTTGCACGGCCTTGTTGTGACGTACGTCGATGATTTGTTCTACTTCGGCAACACCCCGGTGATCCAGTGCCTGCACAACTTCGTAAAAGAGGAGTGGCCTACTTCGGATTTGGAGTGGATCAACGAGAACACTGCCGTCAGGTATCTGGGAGTGGAAGTGAAAAAGGAGGGAGCCAGCTACAGCATTAGCCAGCAAGCCTACATCATGGAGCTGTTGCGTGCCCATGACCTCCAGGATGCGTTGCACACAGAACTTCCGGTACCTCGTGAATGGCTGGAGCAGGTGGAACTTCAAGATCCAGAGCCCGAGGATTTCTCCGAGGAGGAGTTGCGCATGGGCCAACGATATGTTGGCGAGGTCTCCTGGCTAGCCATGAAGACGAGACCAGATATCGTTTTTGTGGTAAACCACATGGCGACCCATGTAGGACGTCGACCTCTGCATGTGACAAGGCTTGGAAAACGATTGATGTCGTATTTGGCAGCAACAGCAGGGATGCGATTGCGTATGGCACCAAGGCTCGACAAGCCCAAGGAGCTCGTGTGCTACACGGATGCGAGCTATGCCCCGTATGGTTCGAGGAGCTTCGGGGCGGCAGTGATCGTTCAATGCGGCGTTCCTGTAGCCTGGAAAGCTGGCAGACAGAGCTTCATTACTATGAGCGTGATGGAGGCAGAGCTCTATGCCGCCACCCAGGGCTGCAACCTTCTGGACTCGATTGCAGCCATTTTGGATGAGTTGGCGCCAGGGGTCTACAAGCGCGTGCTGGCTATAGACAACACATCGGCGGCTGCGATGTATCGAGGTGGACCGGGGTCGCAAAGGACGCGACACCTAAAGATCCGAGCACATTATCTTCGAGAAGCCACTGAGCTGGGATTGCTGGAGATTCGTCACACCCCAGGAGTCCAACAATTGGCCGATCTGGCTACCAAGATGATGACAAAGGTCCGCCTTCGCCAGCTCTTAGAGCTCTGGGGTTTTGTTGGGTTCAGAATCGCAGAGACCTTGGCCACTCTCCAACTGAAGATCCTAGCAGCCATCCTCACAGTGATCTCGTTGTTCACACCGGCCACCGGAAGCTCGTTGGAAGATGAGGACTTGAAGGAGCCGATCCCGACAATCCACTATCTTGAGCTCATGTGCATCACCGTGATGATATGTGCCTCGATCATCGGTTGCTGGGAGGGTGCAAAACTGGTGTATCGATGGGGACTTCGACAGCATCGGCGTGCAAAGAAGGCATTGAAGTTGGAGCAGGTGAGGAATCTGGTTTCGAGGGCGGCCCAAACTGAAGTCGCAATCCAGGCCACAGCAGCTGATCTGGATGAGACACCGACGATCATGATGGAAGCACCGAGTTCACGGCCGGCGACCCTACGAAGACGAGCAGCTAGCCAGAGTTCCCCTACTACCGCCCACGATGGTCTATCAGCTTTCTCGGATGTACCTACGGAAGTTCGCCAAGATGATGCTGATATGAGAGAAAGGTTGCGAGTGGCTAGAGATCTCCTCATGCTGATGACGGTTGAACACCTCCGACAGGCATTGAGGATTCAAGGTCAGCCTACGTCAGGGGTGAAAGGAGATTTGGCAGAGAGGCTGAAGAATTACTTCGGAGCTGAGGAGCCTCCCGCTGGCTCAATGCTCCCGTCCACCAGGCAGCTTCGCTATGTCCTCTACATCTGGCGTCATCGTAACATCTCCGGCCGACATCACTTGCTTTGGAGCGAGGTGTGTACCAGAGCAGAGATCTCCAAGTGGATTGAGACTTGGAGACACGCTTGAGCGGAGCTCAGTGACCTGGAGACAGAGTCTTCGGATGAGAGCAAGTCGAGACGAGGCTGGCTCGCTGAATTCATTGGCGTGGACTGCTCCCGAAGGGATGGTCCAAGGAGGAGTGTTGCCTGAGGTTGATTGCTGTGGCGCGACTCTTCAGAGCCGGAGGCTCGAATCGAGACAGGCCAGAACATCCGACATAAAGAGGCAGCACACACTCGACATAAGCAACTTACAGCATTGCAGATCTGCTGTGGTGTGCGTGAGAAAATCCCATGTCCGATCGCCATGATCCCATTGCCATGCCGTCCTCCAATCCACCTGATGACATGCAATCAGTGCATAACCTGGGCCCCGCCGGCCAACAGAATCCTACTATTTCGGTTGTAAATACCTGAACTAAAGTTAGAATAGTAAGGGGCCCTACTTGTAATGCTTCCTGAGCATAATGGTTTGGCGCTGTTCTTAGGGGGGTCCTTGGGGGAGGGTGCTGATGGCCTGCTGAACGTACTGCAAATTGGCTTCCGTCAGCTCCGAGACTTCACTGACCACAACATGCGCTTGTCGTGGTCGGGAGGCACTCGGCCCGCGATGTACTGGTCTTCTTCGCAGGCACGCTCTCACTTTCGGCACCTTTTCGCCGGCTGGTTCGGCGGCTTGCTGCAGGTGTCTTTGGAAGAGCTGATTGCAGGCATGCTGCCGGGCGTCCAGCATATCTCATGCTGCAACATGTGGGCCACTTGCCAACATGTGCCGACTCATGTTCTTAGGGGGGACGCAATGAATCTTACAAATGGGGTCCTATACCCCATGCTACTCTAATCCCCAAGAAGGTCAATGAATTTACCTTAAGAAAACCCATAGGTACCCTAACAAGAACCTCCTACAAAACAACAGCCCTACTTAAAGAGACCACCGACCAAGATAGTATATAAACCATAAAGGGCACAGCGTATAGCTGCATCTACAAAATTACAGAAAACTTGAATCAGGGCGACTCAGACGGGTGCAAGCTTATAAAGCTCAGGGCAACGGTACCCTCAAGCTATGAGGAATACTAGCCCTAAACCCTAAACCCTGTAAACCCATAACCCCAAAGCCTTAAACCTAAACCCCCAGGGCTCCGGGGCTTCGGGCTTCACAGGGTTTAGGGCTTTGGGGGACTGGGGGAATGCGAGGCTAAATCCAAAATGGACTGGGGTCGCTGGGGAAGGATCACTTCGCCTAAGCCCTAAACCCGAAATCCGATGAACGCTAGCCTCCCTAAGCTCTAAACCCTACACTCTACACCCTAAACCCTACATGAACGTTCCCCTAACCCTAAACCCTAAACCCTAAACCCTGAACCCTAAACCCTATCCCTAAACCCTATCCCTAAACTAGCCTCCTAAACAGAATGGAGGCAAGCTTCATATCTGATGTCTACGTCGGCCAGGGCCGCTTCCGGAATCTCATCCTGGACATGCCTGTGCTCAGACGGGGGTCTGGGGTACCGGGTGTAAACATTAGAGGTTGGGGTTTAGGGCTAGGGTTTAGGGTTTAGGGTTTAGGGTTTAGGGTTTAGGGTTTAGGGTTTAGGGTTTAGGGTTTAGGGTTTAGGGTATACGGTTTATAAACCCTAAACCCTATAGGGTTTAGGGTTTAGGGAACCCTAAACCCTATAGGGTTTAGGGTTTAGGGTTTAGGGTTTAGGCTTTGGGGAGCAGGGTTCTAGGGTTGAGGGTCGGGGAGGGACTAGGCATGATGATTTCCCAAACCAGGGTAAGAGAGTCGGCAAAGATGTAGACTTGTGCTGCCTGAGGTCGTGTTCGTTTAGGGTTTAGGGTTTAGGGTTTAGGGTTTAGGGTTTAGGGTTTAGGGTTCAGGGTTCAGGGTTCAGGGCATGGGGGGAGAAGGGGGACAGCACCTGGGATCGTGAAATCCTGCAAAACACAGTGTTTTTTTGAGTTTTTTATTGTTTTATGAATATTTTATGATTTCGGTATGGCCTGTTTGGCTCTCCACTTCCCAACCTCCTCGGCCCCTCCCCCCTCCCCCCCTCCCCCGGCGTCATAGTTCTAGCTCCCCCGAAACCCTAAATCCTGAACCATGAACCTTTAGCGAGGGAGCTAAAGTGAAAAGGACCCTATACCCTAAACCCTCAACCCTCGCGTTGGCTGGAAGGCGTGAGGCCCTTTCTGCTGTTGCCTCCGAGACGAAGGAGGTCGCCTTCGGTTGTTGTATTTGTTGTTTAAATGATTTTCGCTTCTAGTACCAATGCACTTCGAGACGCTGAACCCTAAACCCTAGACCCGAAAAGGTTTTCGGCTATTGGCACAGCATCGAGAAGACCCTGAGATGCTTAGTCAACAACCGACAAAGAATCAGCCCCGAAGAACCTCACGCGCCAGGACCAGGGGCCCTAAAACCCTAAACCCTAAACCCCAAACCCTAAACCCTAAACCCGAAACCCGAAACCCTAAACCCTAAATCCTTAAAGGTCATCTACCCAAAGCCAGGCCTTTGGTTACCAAACGGCACCAGAACATGACGGACTCCCGCACGGTGGGCCGCCAGCACCTCGCGGTTTAGGGTTTAGGGTTTGGGGTTTAGGGTTTAGGCTTTAGGGTTTGGGGTTTAGGGTTTAGGGTGCGGGGTTTCGGCTTTAGAGGCTTTATGTGGTTTAGGGTGTGGTGTTTAGGGCATAGGCCCGCCCTCCCCCTTCCCCTCACACCTCCAAAACCTCGAAATGCGGGGAGGGGGTGGGGGGAGGTAGGGAGTAGGGGCGCTGGGGTCCACGTCCTTGGGGTTTTGAAGGACCAGGGGGTTCAGGGTTGGTATGGGGCTTGTGTCTTTTTTGAAGTTTAGGGTTTTGCGGGTTTCAGCGGGTGCAGCCCAAATATCAACTGCATGGCTGCTGCAACAGTCATAACCCTAAACCCTAAACCCTAAACCCTAAACCCTAAACCCTAAACCCTAAACCCTAAACCCTAAACCCTAAACCCTAAACCCCACATACTGAATATCCGGCGTGAGGAGGCAAACCCTGAACACTGGAATCCAGACTTGGCCGACTTCTGAACCCCCTCCAAAAAGTAAAACTTGGAGGCTCCTTATGCCCTATTCTAGTTTCTTAACAAAAACCCTTCCGCAACCCCCCCCCCCCCCCCCCACCAAAAAAAAAGAAAGAGACATACCTTGTGGGCTCCTTATGCCTTATTCTAGTTTCTACAAAAACCCAAAAGGTTAAAGTCCGAAGAGCCAGACAGAAGAAAGCCAGGGAGACAATGTCTTGTTGATTGCGTGCTTAGGATGTCAGGGTCTCAGAGGCCTTGGGGTTACCCTCAATGCCTAAGCTCTAAACTCCAAAGTTGTAAACCCTAAACCCTAAACCCTAAACCCTAAACCCTAAACCCTAAACCCTAAACCCCCAACGTCCTAAACCCCAACACACCTTGTCCCGGACGCCCCCGACCGGCAGCACGTGCCCTCGCAGTGTCACCTGCGGGTCAGCTCACAGGCGCGCAAGTTAGGGTTTAGGGTTTAGGGTTTAGGGTTTAGGGTTTAGGGTTTAGGGTTTAGGGTTTAGGGGTTAAGGTTAGGGGAGGGCTCGATCTTTGTGGCTCCTGTTCGTGGGACTCTCTTTACCTACGGTCTTCTTGGGTTATACCTACGAATTAAGGGGTAGTTTCTACTAACGTGTAGGTAAATAGAGTCCGAAGTTAGCTTTACGCCATCGGGTTTAGGATGGCTTAGGGTTATTCTTACTATCCTTCTGTCATTCTTCGTTTTTGGTAGAATAATAGGAAAATGATTCTGCAAACACTAGTATCGTGAGGGTTATTCTAGGAAGGATACTATAGTGAGGAAACCATCGTATTTACAAAACGGCCATGAGAACTCAATCTTAGCGCAATAACCCCAGCGGGCATCATCAAGGGTTGAGGGCCTGGAGATTCAAGGTTTCGCGTTCCATTTTTCTTGCGCACGATATACTCAGATTTCTAGAAAAAGGAAGAAGAAGGAGAGCTGTCATTAGTATTAAGATGAATAGTTGGTAGTGAGAACAACAACAGCCCCAAAGCCCTAAAGTTACTGGGGGCGTTCTCTCTGCAAACCCCAAACCTAAACCAAACCTTCAACCCTAAACCTGCACAACTGCACAACCCTCAAGGTTAGGGTCTAGGGTCTAGGGTCTAGGTTTAGGGTTTAGGGTTTAGGCTTTAGGGTTTAGGGTTCAAGGTCTACATTTGCTCAAGGCTTAGTGAATCCCGCTCATCTCCCCAGATAGCTTAGTGCCCGTAATGGGGGGGGGGGGGGGGCATACTGGGGGGTCTACCAGGTGAGCCCTTACTTAAAAGTTAAGAAGGGCACCAACCGTAAAAACCCTAAACCCTGAGCCCTGAACCCTATATATATATATAAACACAACTATAAATAACCCAAATCCTGTAAACCCCATCCTCCTCCCTATTCACCCCACAAAGTCGATTATGAACCCGTACAAGCCCCGAAAGCCCTACTGAAAAACAGAAAAACCCTGAACCCTAAACCCTAACCCTAAACCCTAAACCCTAAACCCTAAACCCCACACCCTAAACCCTAAACCCTAAACCCTAAACCCTAAACCCTAAACCCGTCGAACCCTATCTTGCACCTCGCCGGTGACGGCCGTGTCACTTCGGACCGGACGGTCCTGCAGACTTGCCCAACTTCCCAGGGTTTAGGGTTTAGGGTTTAGGGTTTAGGGTTTAGGGTTTAGGATTGAGGGTTTAGGGTTTCGGGTTTAGGGTTTAGGGTTTTGGTAGCCCAGTAACCATCTTATAGTGAGGGTACCCTTCTTGTGGTTGGTGACTTTATAAGGGAACCCAGAACCAAAAACCACTGGACTACCAAACCTAACAGGCCGAGGGCTTCAATGCGTGAGGTTTCGGGGCTTGAGGTTTACAGCTTAGGGTTTAGGGTTTAGGGTTTAGGGTTTGTGTCTAGGGCCTATAGGGCTTTGGACAAGTGAGGATTTCAGGGATGTA